CCCTCACTGCTTTTCTTCTGCCCCACCTCCATCGGCTGCTTCTTGTCTTTCTTGTTCTCCGTTTTTGCTGTGAGTTTGGTTAACTGCTTCTCTTCCTGCTTTTTATTTCTCTCCCCTAGACCGTACATCCGTTGGCAGTGAAAGTCTCCTTTATTTGTGCTCCACCCTGTGGCTTCCAGTTTCCTTCCCTCTATGAAATTCCTCCTGAACGCTTCCTCCTAATGAAATCTTGCTTTTATTGCACATTTAACAAATCTCTCTAAATTAAATGAAGTGTTCCCATCCAATTCCCTATTCATCACCCCCCACCCCACCCTTGTGCATGTATGTGTGCACGCACTTAAATTGTGTCACACTTAAATTGTATCAGTTTCACATGGAATAGAACCCTGGACAATCAGCGCTATTAGCAGCAACAACCCCAGTGATTGCCAAGAAGGTGTCATGGAGTCATCGGGATACTACTGGACAAAATAAGAATCCCTGTCGTGGTTTGACCTATATCATCGCCACCTGCAGACGCCTGCTTGCCACCCTAATGAACAAGGAGTGAGCTTTCTGAGAGCAGAGTCATTGTTTCATTCATAGCTGGAGCTGTGAATGGAGCTTGGCTGGAGCTGTGTACATAGTTGGGGTTCACAATTTTTTGCTTAAAGAATTAATCTTCATTTGGACACATAGGTGAATTCGTACAGGAAGGAAAACTAGTGAATGAACCTAATAATAATACTATTAGAACAACCAGTTGCCATCAAATTGATTCAACTCCTGATCGCCACATGTATGCAGGGAAGATTTCCCCTTTGTAGAGTTTTCATGGCGCCTTTGCCAGGCCTCTCAGCTGAGACGCCTCAGGGTGCCTTTGAACTACATACTGAGAGGAGTTGAGTGCTTAGGGTGAGAATTAGCGAGCAGATTTCTTTTTTTTTAGAAAACATCATTTTATTGGGTGTTCATACAGCTCATCACAATCCATAGATACATCCATGGTGTCAAGCACATTTATACATATGTTGCCATCATCATTTTAAAAACATTTTTTTTCTACTTGAGCCTTGGGTATCAGCTCCTCATTTTCCCACCCCACCCCCTTCCTCCCTCATGAAACCTTGATAATTTATAAATTGTTATTATGTTTTTATGTCTTACACTAACCAATGTCTCCTTCACACACTTTTCTGTAGCCCTTCCCCCCTGGGAGGGGGTTATATATAGATCATTGTGATTGGTCCCCCCCCCCCTCCCCCGCTCACTTTTCCCTTCCCCTCCTGGTATCATTACTCTCATTATTGGTTCTGAGGGGGTTATCTGTCCTGGATTTCCAGCTCTTATCTGTACCCATGTACACGCTCTGGTCTAGCCAGATTTGTAAGGCAGAATTGGGATCATGATAGTGGGGGCAGTGCGGGGAGAACTAGAGGAAAGTTGTGTGTTGCGGGGAGAACTAGAGGAAAGTTGTATGTTTCATTGGTGCTGTACTGCATCCTGATTGGCTTGTCTCTTCCTTGTGACCCTTCTGTAAGGGGATGTCCAGTTGCCTACAGATGGGCTTTGGGTCTCCACTCACACCCCCTCTCATTCACATTGATATGATTTTTTGTTCTGGGTCTTTGATGCCTGATACCTGGAGCCGATTTCATGAAGACTACTTAAATTGTTTCTTCGGATATTTCCACTGCTACTTTTAATGATATTTTAAAATCAAAGAATGAAAGTCATTATTAGCAAGTATTTTTCTTTGCGTTTAAAAGGACCGAGCAATGTTGGAAGGGCTAGCATTTGTTATAAAAATGTGTGCTCTACGTTCCAACCGGTCATTCTTCATCACATTACTCATTTTTTTTCCTCTGAAAAATTGTCAAGAGGACACATTTTCCAGATTAAGTGTAATTGAAAAAGACAATCACTCATAAATTCATATTGGTGACGCTTTATATTAATAATAAAAGAGAGCAGCATTAAATTATATTAAATCAATTCTAATTTAAAAGGGTTTGCAAAGTTAATTTTCCAAGATTGGGGACACAATGCACTTGAAAAGCTTTACATTTTGCTCTGAAATGATTTTCTCCTAAGAACCACACTACGCTGAAAACATAGTACAAGAGTGCTGCTTTTCTTGCCTTTGACTTGATGTCTTTTTGCTGCACGTATCTGGGCCTGTGTTACACGCAGCCAAGGCTCTCCCTTCTTGGGGCGGTTTGTGAACTGCAGCGCTTCGAGGCTTCTTTCCTGGCAAAGATGCTGCTTCCACAGCTCATCCGCACACCCACAGACGCATGAACAAACACCAAAGTCCGTTTGTTCTGCGAGTGAGCAGGCAGTTGTGTGAAAAGCTGTAGTGACGGGCAGGGAAAGTAATAGATAACCCATTAACGTGTGCCCCGAGTCCCGTAAACAGCGCCCTGCCTCTGCAGCTGCCTCGGGAAAACTGCTGTGTCACCAGCCCCTTGTCTCTCCAGCATCAGAAACAAACCCTGCTTCAGGGATGGCCCGAGAAGGGTTCTTCCTCTGTGCGAGGTTGGCCTGGTGGAAGGATTCGTTTTCAACTCCCCCATACCCTTCCCTGCTTCCTGCAGAATCTCCGAAGTTGGTTCTCCATTTTCAAAAAGCCACACTACCGAGGAAATCAGATGAAATCAGGATGGAGTACCTTTTTGAGGAAGTAGTGGTGTCCACATTGATTTATATGACTAGGCAGCTTTGTTAAAGATGATCAGATTTTTTTAAACTTACGCAATAATGTTACCTCTTTATAAGACCAAGTCTAGATTTCTTTATATTCTGACCTTGATCTAATTTCAACAATTCTCTTTGGCGCTGAGCTTCAGAATCCTGAAGAGATACAGTGTTAATACATAGCATGATTATGAGAAGGTTTATTTCAATTCATTCATTTTTAAGGTTTGTTTGTTTCTTAGATTGTGGGTCTCTGTGATGCTGGGAACGCATAACTTAAGGAACAGAGGCAGAGAAAGAATTTTGACCCTTAGTATTTGGGTTTACGAAAGGATAATTTATTGGCTTTAAAACATAAACAGGAAAGGACTAAAGCAGAACACATGGCTTTCACACTGACTTTTTCATGAAAAAATCTAGGAACATTTTATCATTTAATCCCTATACAGTATATCTGTGGTGTCCTCTGTACGAGGGGACTTCAAATGCTTGTGGACCAATGGAAGTAAAAGATAATGGGATTTTATCATGAAATGTTGTGTAACCGCCTCATATGTATTATATTCCTTATCCTATAGTACCTAGCACAATGCAAGCAGCCTGTTTGAATCTGGGTAGACTAGAGAAACAAATCCACAGAAACGCATATGTATATAAGACAACGTTTTATATAAAAGGTAAGTGTACATTAGGAAAGCATCCCAACCCAGTCCACTCCAAGCCAATAAGTCCAACATTAGCCCATATGTCCGATAGTAATCTACAAAGTCCTCTACAAACTCATAAAACACAGGCAATGACACCGACTGCAGGAGGAAAGCCGAGTCAGTGAATGTGTAAGCATCTCAGTGCTGGCCGGGGTCTCCATGCGGCTGCTCCAGCACCCAGGGCTGCATCGGGGTAGGTCCATGTGGCTTCTCCTCAGGGATGTCTTGCAGGAAGTAAGCCTTGCCAGCTGAAGCAGGGAACTGGCTAAAGCAGCTGCACCCTGGTCCGACCATCAGAGAACAAGAGACCAGAGAACAAGAAAGGCAAGGCTCACGGAGTCATTTATCTCTCCGCCCTTCAATTAACCCCACATGTATTTATCCACCAGATTGGTACAATAAACCTTAACTATCACACAACCAGAAAATAAATCTTGAATAAATGAATGAATGAATGAATGAATACAGTACAGTACAGTTAAGCCAAGGCCAGTGAATAAGTGTCAGAAATAGAGATAACTCCTTTCCTGCCCGAGTGACGTCTGAATTCTTAAGCTCTGTAGTTTAAACTAACTGTTATGCTTATAGAAGAATCGGGCTGAGTAATTCAGACCCGTGTACATTCATTTCTGCACAAGGGTCTCCAGTTTGTCTGGAGGTAAAATGTGAGCGGAATTCCTCGTTATCCTCTTGATTCTCGCCCAAGGAAAGGGCCCATCTCATCCATTTCCTGGGCCCTTGCCTTGGGCTGGTGTTTCGTTCTTAGTAAAAAGGGAGTTGAAGGGAAATCCGTGCATTTCCTGAGTTTCAGAGGGTGTGGGGATGATAACAAGATCAGACATGAAAGCACAGAGACCCATGCTTTCATTAATTCCAGACTCTACCTTGAACAGAAAAACGTACTAAACTGAGCTGTGAGCTATTTCTAGGCTCACAAGGTACCGGGGAAGAAGAGTGATCATTCATGAATTCTCATTAGGATGTGATGTGGGTCATGAAGGGTTCTTAGGGGAGCTCTCATACTTGGTGAAGTGTTAAATCATGCACACATATATTATATGGGTTTCATTAACCTTTGCATTCAATAATGTCCCATTAAATGTCACACTATAATATATGAATATACTTTAGACATGCCATTATTGCCCTGACAGATAGGCATGAGTTCTGCCCTCCATCAGTGCAACCCATGGGGTTTTCTTTTGAAATACATGAATGAATTTAAAGTGCTATTACTTTTAAAGACTTTCATAAAAGTTACATCCAATTGCATAACTGTAAAACACAGAGCTGATTAACCCTACTTTCTGCTTATTATTAACAAGATGGTCATGTAATGGTTATGCTTCCGGTTGGTTACTGCAAGGCCAGCAGTTTAAAACTGCCAGCTGCTCCATGGGAGAAAGACAGGGCTTCTACTTCTATAAAAAGCTGCAGTGTTAGAAACCCACAGGGGCAGTTCTACCCTGTCCTACGGCACCGGCTCCATGGTGGTGAGTGAGTCTGCTTATTACTATTCTCGTATGCGCTTTCGTCTACACATTGGGTTGTTACCGCCACTCCTATGGAGAAAAATGAGTCTTCCTCCTCCCTACAGAGTTCCAGTCTCGGAAATCCATCAGGGTCGTTATGAGTCAGCATTAACTTGATGGTGGTGAGTGAGATCCTTATTTACTGAGCAGCTTGAGTATATAATGCTTTCAAATAGTTGGTGTTTGGTTTACTTGTAACGTGTCTGGGTCCATTTTTAGGATCTTCAGCTCCTTTTGTAACTAATAAAGAGTATCATGCATATAGCCACCCTTGTATCTCATTGAAAAGTAGGATTTGGTTAAATCTAGCACTTTATTATTATTATTTTATTCAAAGATCATTTTATTGGGGGCTCTTACAGCTCTTATAACGATCAATGATATCAAGCATATTTGTACATATGTTGCCACCATTCTTTTCTAGACATTGACCTTCTATTGAGCCCTTTGGTATCGACTCCTCTAAATCTAACTCTGAACGCTGACCCAGTAAAGGACTTGCCGTTGACAGTTCCTAGGAGGTCTTGAGCAATGCGGGCAGTGTCAGAATCAATAACAGAACCAAGTAGCCGGCGTGTGCCATTGGCTTCTCTTTAAAAGCTGTTTTGTTTAAAATTAAAATTAAAACCTCATTTTCTCTAAAGGTCTTTTGGAGTGCTTTTCTGTGTTGCGTAAGTAAAAGTTGTGAAGATGTTTTCCTTCCTTCATTCTTTCATGTCCTTCCCTGCGATGTCTCTGGCCAGGGTGCATTTCAAGGCACCTACGGTGTTGCTCACACTCATCGGTTTGTATCGGGCTCAGGCCTTGGACTCAACCCTCACTTGGAGATGACCGCAGTCTCGTCCCCTTCCACTCTACATTTCCCCCCTTCTAATATGGAAGTTTATTTACTAACCGAATGGCATTGTATGGTCAGTGGCGTTTTCTGCTTTTTAAAAAGTCCAGTAACATTGTTAAATGAAGCATTGCACTAAAATGATCTATTTTTCAGATTCATAAGGTAATTACATGTTTCATCGTGCATTACATAATATTTTCTGTATAATCATCTTATTAAAGATGCATAACATCCGTGGAGTTGCCATACATTGCAACTGACTCAACGGCAACTGGTTTTATACCTCCCAAAAGGTCTTCTTCGCTCTAATCCTGCCATGGACACATACTTAGAAACCAGAGGATTCAGGTGCCCTGAAGGAGACCTGGTGGTGCTGTCAGTTAAACATTTGACTGCAAACCTAAGGTCCAAAGTCAAGCCCCCCAGCGGCTCTAGTGGAGGAAGGTGAGATGGGCGGCTCCTATAAAGACCACAGCTTCAGAGACCTTATTCAGGGTAGCTGTGAGTTGGAATGACACAGTGGCAGCTGGTTGGGGTTTTTGATTTTATGTCTGTTCTACCTTTCCGTCTTCTCGCAGGTACCTCCTTTCCAAGACGCCAGCTTCTCCTCTTGATGATGTTGTATTCTGCCATCCGAAGGGTGAGCTTTCTTTTCTTCTCAGGATTTCTCCTACTCCGTAGATCACTAGAAATTTGCTAAGTGATTTCCCACTCACTATCAATAAAAATGTCACTGAAATTTAATAAAGAGCAAGTTATTTCCTGTTTTTCAAATAGCACTGTGAACTTTGTCTTTGTCTTCTGCAGACAACGTGCTAGGGTAATATGCTGACAGGAAACTTTACAGCTTTTGTTACCATTTACCCATACCCTTCCCAGCCCTGGCCTTTGTGCATGTTTTGGAACTTATTCAGTTTCCCAAAAGATCAGGGTTAGATGAGAGCAGAGATATAAACAGGATAGCATTTGCTTTGTAAATGCTATAATTTCCATAGAAACACATATTTGTCGAGAGTCTTGGTCTACCAGTAATAACATTTCTACAATGGTGTCCAGAAATCATGTGCTTCTGATAGAATTTTCTGATTTAAGCCTACTTCTTTTTTAACTTAAGAAAACAGTAAGA